TATGATATTATATGCTATATATACATATATAGGGCGGTTATATTATATATAGAAAGCTTTAATATAGTAAAACGTTTGAAATTTTGAGTTGTAGTCCAAAGAATTTTGACTATTGAGGTGCTGTAATAACAAACCTCGTTGAAATAGTTGTGTACGGTCTATATGATATTGTTTATTAGACTACATATTGTGATAAGATGTAATGTATAAGAAATGAATGTTATAGAAGTTTTGAAATAACTACTTAATAAAAACTGAAAGAAGATTATTTTCATACAAACATAGGATTAAAGTTTTAGAGAAAAATGCTTGAAGAACATAATGATAATGAATGAATGTTTAAATTTTGATAAAATTGGTAGATTCTCTGATAATTAATGGTTATATTAATTTCCTATTACATAAAGAGTTCTGAGTACGTATAAAAAATAAAAAATTACGTACGTAAAATAAAGTACGTATAAAAAGAAAGGCTGTTAAATCTTGTGACATGAAAGATTCTTTGAATAACATTATTTTTTTCCTATCACGACGAAATTGTTTATTTTTCTCGTTTTAAAACTTTATCTTATCATATGTAAATTTGGAAGAATTAAACTCACGTGGTGATGATTATTTTATTATCATGTTTGAAACGGTGCAAATGAAAAATACTGTATGTATACAATGATATCAAAATTTTCTGAAGTACAAATCTGAAATGAAACTTTTTTTTTGTATTTTGTGTTGTTTTATTTGTATTTTCGAAATTACAGTTAAAGTTATCTTAACGTCGGAAAAATGTAAAATAAAACACAAGCACCCTCTATTTTGTACTAAAAAAACATACTTTCCTTTTAACTATATGTGTATTAGTGTACAATGATTTTATATCAACCTGAAGTCTTCTATACATATACATGTATGTGTTTAAAATCCAATCGATTATATTATCGCAAATTTTGGACAACAATTTATATTTTTAGGTGATTTTTTAATATTAGAACATTCTAAGTATTTCTTTACTTATAATCTTTATGATCCATAATACTAATACTTTCGAAATTAATTAATATGTGTATTGGATTGCAGGTATAGTGACGATTGGTATATCGAAGCCTCTTCCTTGTAGCACCATCGTTGGTGGTGAGCGAGCCAACGGACAAAGCGATCAAGGAAGCCAGGTAATAAAAAAATAATACAAAAAAAAACAATTTAAACCAAAGAAAAAATCATTTTTTTTTCATTTTCTACGCATTTCTATCGGTTTTTTTCATACAATTTAAAACAAAAAACGATATATTTTTTTCATTTTCAACGCATTTCTATTGGTTTTTTTTCGATGTGACATTGTGTATTGTACACTGAGGGGAAAATTAAAGTAAGTTACTTTATATATTAAGCTTTTTCTTACATACGCTTAGAGCAGTAATTTAAAATTATTTAGCATGCGTTTTTGATATTGCGATTATTATTATTTTTGTACAATAAAGGGAATAGAACTACCGCTCTAAGATTTTTTTGTAAAAAAATAATATTTTTTCTTTATTTTTTCCCTTTAGTGTACAATAAGTTTTTTTGCATGCTATATATTAGATTTTTTTGTAAATAAGTAATTTTTTTTGCAGAGATTGGAATATTTCACCAAAATTCTCCGTCTAATTATGTCATTACACCGTGACATAATGGAATTACAATTACACTGTTCCGAAGTCATCGACGCTCCGTTCAGAGTTCCACCGAAGATAAAAGCGGAGATCATATTAAAATAGACATTATCTTCTTCTACCTGGCAACTTCCCAGCTATAGCCAGGGTCTGCCTGACATGTTGTGAATAGTTTTGGCTAATTGTTTTTACCAGCCGTCTGCCTGACATCAACCCTCTTTGGGAATGCATTAATCAGTGATGTCTAAATACTCTTAGAAAGTACATATGATACGGAAAAATCATATTGATACTCGCCCGGGCCAGAAAATAGACATCCATTATATTAAGAGCAAATTAATTAAATGTTTGAGCTTTTCAATATATTTAATGTCATGAAAATTACTGTTGATAACAATAACAAAATATTTTTATTAAGTGGTTTATAAATAGAAGTTATATACTTGTAAAGCTTAATTCACATATTTAAATCATAGCACAATAGCTTAGTAAGTTAAACTACTTTAATCCGACTTTTTTTAGGTTTTGGTTCTATTCTGGTTGATTTTGAATCTAGTCAATGAACTTTTGTTGAATCTTTATTTCATGTCAAATATAACTGCGATATTGATTTAAGGAATTGTTAATATATGTATGTATTATTAAAATATTAAAATATATTTTTTATTGTATTATTATTACTACTTCTTATCTTTTAAACTATTTATGAGTATGTTGGGTGGATTTGAAATGTTATTTGACTGTATAAGCAGATATTATTGTTATAAGAAACTATTTGCTTGGAGCTTATGTAAGAATATAAATTTGTATATAGGCTGAAAAGTGCACAAATATATATAATAGAAATTATTTGTTGGTATAATCTTAATCACTTTCTCAGTCTTAAATCTTAAATTTTCTTCCGCAGCACTTATTTTTCTCACAATATCTGTACAGTTTTTTTTTGTTAATATTTTTATAACAAAACAAACTTTAGTTTTGTATAACAATATAATTGAAATAAAATTATTATAAGAACAAATATGTTAGTAGCACAGAGTCTATTAAAATTTATTATGAAATCTTAATAATTGATGAGTCGATTTAATAAATGATAATTTGTTAGTAATTTTTTTTTATTGTTCATACATGTTCCAATAGTATAAGTAACTATTCATGATTAAAACAAATTTTGTGTCTAGAGTTATTTTTGTCACTGTCTTGATTAAAAAATAACATTATAAGGATAATATATGAAATTTTAGCATTGTAAACAATCCACTAATATTGTTATACTACTTTGTTGATGGAAATTCATAGTTCATACAATGTTTTTAAGAATGTCTTCTAGCTTAGAGAATTTATCTTCGATCATCACCAGACTTTAATTTGATGCAGTCTTTTCTGTCAGATAGTTTTTGATCTAAATTATTGTTCTTAGTATAGTAATAATTTAGTAGCAATTTGTTGTGTATCAAATATTAAAAAACTATGTAAATGTAGGCATGTATGTATGTTTGTTCCATCCGAGTGACGAATATCAAATAGCTGTTAACAATTACTGTGAATGTTACTCAAAGTAATATGAGTCGTAATTAATGAAAAAATATTATAATTAGAAAAAATTAAAATTCAGAGTTTCGGTTGTCTGATTGTGGTGTTTAAAGATTTTCTTCTGAACTCAAATTTGTTACCTATATAAAAATACTAGTCATACAATAAAATTATAAACTGTTAATCAAATGAAAAGTACTTATTCTTTTGAATCTTATATTTAATTTTGACCGCTAGTATGCGTGCATTTCTATTTTCTTTTTTAATATGAAATAACAGCATATGTGTGTCAATATAATGAAAATTACTGATTGTACATATATACTCTTTGAAATTATCTGTTTAAAAGCACTTATACTCAAGTTTCTAAAACTATTAATGATATATAATATTTTCGCGAGTATTCATTTAAATAAAACTTATATTTTCGGATTATTACGCGTTATTTTATTATTTTCAATTACATACTCCTTACGTTTACTTAACAGCAACCGTGCTTACAAGCAGACGAGATGATAATTATGAAAATGACATTTAGCGAAATACATCCAAAAATATTAGTTTTATTTGATTTTGAATTAATATTTATTAAAGAGCGTTCTGTTCTTGAATTTATTCTTCACAATATTTAGAAAAATTTTACTGAAACATCGGTAAATTGAAAGTTAGATCATCCAACATAAAAATTGTTATAGATGTAATATTATGTACCTATAAAATCATTTACAATTATTAAAAAATACTAAAGATTAGTTTATTATTTTAACAATCGATCATATTACAATAGATAGCAATTAAGATTAAAAATATAGTAATTTTGCAATTATACTATCATATTTTACTATATCATTATTATAAGCCCTGTTAGATTAACGAAATAAATAAAAATAGCTTATTATATGTTGTGGTCAATTTAATATGTGATAGAAAAGAATAGTTGTTTTAATGTTTAGGCAATAAAATATTGTAATTTTATATGCACAAGATGTTCTGGTAGTCTGTGGCCATAAACATATTAATTGACTTGGTATATACATATGAATTGATAATTAAATAAGGATTATTTATAATTAATAATTGATAAATAATATAAAACCAAATACTTAGAATAAAACCTGTTAAAAATAATTAATGTTACATACAGGTATTGAAAAACATATCATAGTTTGTAAGTGTTTGTGTAATATTATATTTTAAGAACAATAAAAAAGATAATTGAAAAGTTTTCATAGTAATTAGTATTGATGACAAAATAATTAATTTGAATAAATTATATGAAATCTTTACTTACAGTCAGTGTCTAATAAAGATCTATCATAAAATGGAAAAAATAAAAGATTACAAATAAACGTTATCTTAAAATAAGCAATACATAATTAAGTAAATAAATTGACAGAAATAAGATAAGTTATAACTTATAAGAAATTCAATACGATTATATAGTGATGTATAGAATTAGTCAATTGTTTATTAAAAAAAAAATATTTTAATGTCAAATGCTTTAATGTTAGTACATAATATGTTGTTGTATGCTTATTGTGCAATAAATGTTTACACAAATTAAAATCGTTTTATTCTATTATATAAAAAATATTTGATCGACTACAACAATTTAATCAAAATTTAGTGAAATTCTGAACAAAACATGTATATTTTGCTTTTTGTTTACAATTTTGAACCATTTTTCTGATTTTTAAGTTTTTGCTGTAATGAAATAAAATATTCTTTGTTTTTATGAGGAAATAAAGTTCTTTAACCACAAATATTGTTTGTCTTCCACAGGAATGCATTAATTCGTTAGCATCTGACGATCACACTGGAATGGATTCCTTCCACGAATGCTTACAAGAATATGGCGAAGGTTTGGAAGTTGTTCAAATATGTCTTGAACCGGAAGACGAATCTGCTAAATACGAAGACTTATCCGCGTTGGCTGATATAAGTTATGAAGATTGTAAGAAAGATACTATCAGAGATGATAATATAATAATCGAAATCAAAGATAATACACAAGTTAATGGAGTTATTGAAATGAAATCATCAAAATCCGATGGATCTTTGGATGATCAAGATGATGATATGACTATAACGGATGACACTTTAAACACACCTCGCGAACTAACTATGAGAAGTAAATCAGAAGACAGGAAAAATATAGACAGGGGGAGAGGTTTATCGAAACAGCAGAGCAAAGACTTATCAACATCCGACGAAATGGTATTCGCAGTAACACCAACAGGTCTAGAAAGAATTAGCTTTGAGAAATACTGGAAGGATATTGATGTGAGCAAAACAAAAACACAGAATGACGATAGTTGGAAAGAATGTCCCAATTCCCCATCAGATGACACTAGCTTCTACGATGCGACTATGAGAATATCTGTACAAGAACAAAACAATTCATTACTATACATTGATCATGAGATCGATGGGTACGAAACATGTTTAGATGATGATTCTTCATCTGTTAAGTGTACAGACAGCAGCTATAAAATAAACGGGGATAGTGAGATCAAAGAATTATATAAACACGATAAAATACACTTTAATAACAAAGACAACGATGTTTGTGCCAAAACTAAACAGGATCAGATCACTGCCAATACTTTAGACGATGTGTCGTCTTACGAACATCCGTATATAGAAGAACATATTATTAAACAGATGAAATCATTAAGAATAGAACCATTAAGTATACATATAAATAATAAGAAAATAAAAAAGAAATCTCCTAAACCGTCCAAAAGCGAGCGTCGTGTTATCGAATATTACAACGATCAAGATGAATGTTTAAAAGAGATACGACAGAAGAAACTAGAAGAAGAATTAAAGAAGAATAAAGAAGATCATCACAGAAGTGAATATAAAATAGCGGAGAAGAAAATGCATTTGAAGAAACAACTGCCTAGCGAAGAATCGACTGACGTTGAACCTTATGTGTCTGGATGTCATAAATGTTTTTTAGAGAATTACGCTTACGAAATAACTAAGGCGTATATAAAAGAAGCTAGCACATGTAAATATTGTGAGGTGATTCGTGATATGTTGGAAGGGCCTAAAGTTATGCCGAATAGAAGGATGTCTGCTCCAGCACTTTTTAATCTGGAGAGTATAGATTCAGATACTGATGATGAAGATCTATTAGCTGTTCCTATAGTCAAAGATAGAAGGAAGTCTACCGGCCCATTAAAATTTCCAGTAGCTAGTAGAAGATCGAGGTAAGTAAATCATGTATCAGAACGGTTTTACATATTGGGTGGTATATGATTGATAGCTTCTGAACGCGACTTAGTTCGCATATTATCAAAAAAGTTTTTTGGGGAACTTTATACTTCTTGGTATTGAGGCTTCGTCACTACCTAAGCCTTCATAGATTAATATATGATTTAATACAGAAATATAATCACGTTCAATGAAAGAATCAAAATTTAAAAATGTTCACTTTTTCTATAGAGATGTAATAATTGCCATAAATAAAGATAAACATAACTTAATAATTAATCGTGATCGTTTATATACACTACACTTTATGTATTGTTACTTTATTTCTAAGGATCAGGTACATTCAAAATAGACCGTACGTAAATAAATAAGCTGTTACGACGCACGCCTTCACGCTACAGTTATAACACGTGGCCATTAATGCGATGAGACCTTATAAATAAGGACAAACTCCCAACAAAAAGTTGTTATACAAAAATCAATTCTTTAACAAGCCCATAGGCTCTGAAAACGTTTGACGTTATGTCACATTTTATAGTCGATTACTGATAGTTGATTTTAAAAAATGAACCGTATTACTGTAAAGAAAAGTCTAAATTCACTTACATAGCTTAGAAGTTTCAGTTTTTGCAGATGTCATCGCAAAATTTAATATAATTCACCAATATTAGATAAAATTACGCATATACCGTCGTAAGTAGGATGCTTGAAATTCCGTACTTTTGTACACGACAAAACATCAATCCTTATAATGAAATACGTAATACATTTACTTGCACAGTAAAAACGTAAAGTATTCCCTTGCGATAATTCCACTTAGCTAAATTAAGTGACCGGGTAAAATAATTTAATAGCATTCTATTCTTTAGAGAATATTTAAGTAAATTGATTAGACCTCATTAAAATTGATTGTAAAGGTTTATGGAGAAAACCTTTCATACTTTTAACTAATATATTTTTTATACATACATATGTGTGTGAGTGTGTGTGCGTGTGTGTGTTTATATAAATCGTTTGTTTCACTGTTTTTGGAGAACTTATCGAGTTCTTCGGAGTTATTAAAATATCAAACAGAATTTCATGCATATTTATGTACATACACTGTTCTAACTTACTAATCGTTGTATACTTATTGACATATATTCCAAGGATATAAATTCATTTCATTTGTAATTATATTTATCGAAGCCTTATACTGTACACATACATATGTTAAACTAGTTTTTGTTCGCGACTTCGTCTGAGTTAGTTTCAGAATTAGAAATGTATAGACCGGGTAAACTGTATTCCTCCTTAAAGACAGTAGATAAGAAGATTTTGGATTTGATAAACTTATATTTTTTTCTTTTTCAATCGCATGGAAAGTACTCTATATCCTTTTCATTGTTGTAAGCCACCAATTTTCAGCGAAAATAGTACAGCCGTTCTTGAGTTATACTCGTAAGTAAAGTAACTAACACGACTTTTTCTTTTATATATGAAAACTTTATATCTATACATATAATATTTTCTACCAGTTTGTATAATAAAGCTACAAAAAGAGTTTCAAGATGTCTCGTTAATAAATAAAACATTAATTCCGTAAAAATAGGTTGGAAAGATAGGTAATGGTTCAGTTTTCAATACTGCAATGGGAAAGTCATTTATTAATTATTGTTATATAATGAGATATGTAGGTTTAAAAATATTTAAAATATACTTTTATTATACGATGCTTCTTAAGAAAGACTACAAATCAAGAAACCTAGTAAATGTGTTAGGTCAAACAGAACACTGTCGGAATGAAAAGATGACAGGATTAAAGTGAAGCTACGTTTGAATAGTGATGTGATACATATTTTATGATAATATCGATAAATTTAAAAAATAACTGGCAAAAAACATGTTTAAGACAACATAATATCTTTCACGATTAAATGCTTTAAGTATTTTCGCACTCCAACCTAGAATGTCACTTTCGTAAGAGCTATGTTTTAAATATATACATATATGTATATGAAAAATTATTGAGTTCATACATTTTTTTAATTACTTTATTGAACAATTACTACATTTAATGAAAGCCTAAAAATCGCTCGTATAAAAGTATGTCACGAAAGTTATTCCCACAAGACTACAGGCTCGTAAACTTAGTAAATTATTATATTCAATACCTTTGGGATTTTATCGTCAAATACAATTTGAAAAAAGTAACGTAAATATTTGTAAACAGATGGACTTCCAAAATTTTTATACGAAAATCAACCTATAGTTATCAGTAGTTAAAATTATATGTATTTTTTTTATACAGGGTGACTGGTGAATTACTATCAATATTTAAGGAGGATACTCGGTACATGATTCTCATTCGAATTATGTAAAAAAAATAGGTACTTAATTTTTGACAAAATTTCCGTATAAATAAATAAAGTGTTGACACGTTCCAAGTGTTCCAAGCGTGGACGTGTGCGGCGGCGTGCTGATACAACACTACGCCGCCGCCGCGTCTGTGTGAGTGTATGTGTATACCTAATCTGTAGGGTGTGCATACGATGCGTAATTAATTACATAACTTTTGGTTAACTTTACTTAGAAGTTTATTAATATTTATGTTATATTAATTTTTATTTTGTCATATATGATCGTCACAAATCACGTCCTAAAGTATCGATAGTAATTCACCAGTCACCCTGTATATTTTAATTATTTTCATAATTGTCGATATTCCGTTTCATCGACGGTGGTACATCACTAGATATAAATTGCTAATACGTATAATTGAGTTATGGTTAACCGACCTCAATGCACCATTACGGATTGACATCTTGTTCATTCTTCACGTTCTTTATTTTGGATACAATAGTTATTTTTTGATAGTCAAAAAAGTTATTTGTCGTCCGTCATCAAAAAGGATATGTAGTGTTGGGCTTATAGCTACTATTTAATTTCGGTGAGTTACGTAAAAATATATATATTATATATTTTTTTTAAACTCATATATATGTAATAACTAGGTAAAAATAAGTCATATTTCTTTTATTTATAATATATACATTATAATACTGTTACATTCATTTTAATATTTTATTAAAAAACTATAAATCATTACGTTTATGTATTAAAAAATATACGCCTATCAAAATTAATGAGCAAAATCTTCAACCTTCGTTTTTATGGAAAACTTTGAATGCATTCGATTCATTTCATGCCCGAATAATTCCGTATTCAGCAGACTGGATGATGATTTAAACGAAGGATTTATAGAAAGATTAAATATTAATAGAACTATTAAATTTCATGATATCTTTGTATAACAATATTTAAATAAATTTCTCTTTCGTACAAACTACATTATAGGTAGCTAGCTTTCTGCACACAGTTTCGCCCGCCTGGAATTTGGTTATATCGCGTTTCCAAGAGAATCTTTCAAAAGTCTGGGATAAAAACTATCCTATATTCTTTCTCAAGGTCAACTCTATATCTGTACTAAATTTCATTGAAATCAGTTCAGTGGTTTAGGCGTGAAAGCATAACAGACAGACAGACAGACAGAGTTACTTTCGCATTTATAATATTAGTAGGGATAGATAAAATTAATATCATACTGTTTTGTTCTTAAGAGTAACCAACAAAAATTTGTATAATAAGCAAAAATTATGTCTCATAGAAAGTATGGGAAATAAATAATCCAGTATGGAATTTGTAACTATCTAAAAATTTTACATCTATACAATAAACTAAGATAGTTCAAAGATAGATAACGTATCTTTAATCTAAGCTTGTCTTATACAAACATATTGAAATAAATCTCCAATAGATTATTTAGAGTAAATACGATGTTAAGTTACAGGAATTGTATTTATGTTCGAAATTGTGCATTCAGTGCAATGAACCGGTCCAAATCATACACTCAGCTGAGCACACTAACTTGGAAATTGATGTTGAATTATATACCATTGACTGAATTAAAATTCAAACATATCCACTCTGATAGATCTGTAGCCTTACTATAAGTTTGCGTCGATACTACTCGTACAAACGGGACGTTGGCAGTTTTTCAGTAAATCGTACCGCATTATAGTTTTGATACGGACTACGGACTTACGCATAATAAATATGAAATTGGACGTATTTCAAATTTCCTTAGTATGTTATCGAAGTCATCTTAAGCATCACTTTTCTCTTTTTATTGTAAAGTACGTAAATTTGAGTTAAAAATTGAATTAAATTGTACTCGTTATTACTTACTATACGTTTGTCTTAATTTCATCTTAGACACTTTGATATAAAAAGCGTTGAGAATGTACTTTAAAAAGTCTCAAAAAGAAGTATTTTCATGAAACTACTATTTTCGGATAATTTATCTTTTTTTTTTATATGTTAAACAACATAATTCCGACGTTTCAATTATTTTGCAGCAACCGTGATCACTTTCAGACATTTTCATCTCGAGTATGTAGCTTAAAATAATAAAAAAAACATAGTACATTTGAAAATAATACATTTATTGAAATGAATCTTCACGAAAGGTTTTGAAATCATTATTCAAGAAGTATTTTCTTTTACATTTTAGTTTTGGATAGTCAAAGTTTTCTTTTATACATCTTCAGTAAATAACTCTCTCTCAATATTATTACTGTGAGATTTTCTAATATTTTTCCATCTATTCAATTATAAAGTGTATAAAAGATTGAAATAAAAATAGGGTTCACACCTAATGTAAATAGTAACAACAGGCGCGCTCGGTCAACCGCTACTTGTTAAGTGATTGCGATGCGTCCTGTACATACGAATACAAAAGTGTTAACAAAAATTAATATTTATTATTTTTGAATTATTTTTATTTATACTGATTTTGTATCATACATTAATGAGAGCATCGAATGATTTTATCGACATATTTTTTCAAGAGGCGACTCATTTATAGTCTATTTTGTGCCTTTTTAAAGTAATTTGAGTATTAATCAGTGGTTATAAATTATAATTTGATTTTGTTAAGAATTTAATCAAATTAAATCAAAAATGGTGCTATTATAGATTAAACTGTTTTTCATTATTTGTTATAATAATTCGGGAGAGTGCTGTTGAGTTACTAATTTTAAAAGCATTTCTAATTTTGTTATGTAACTCACCCCTTTGTTCATTGTTCTTAAACAAAGCTAATAACATAAGTAAACGAAGATAAGGACTTTTATTCCTGAGTGGCTCAGTTTTTACGTGATGCTCTAGGAATCTCAATTCAGTATCCGTCTTGGTTTCATGCATTGATGTAACCTATATGTAGTTATATGTAGCTATAGTTTTAATACTTTTTAACATCTTTAGTGAACATCCATTATTAAAAAACAAAGGTTCAGATCGGCAAGATTAAGAACTATGAGATTTGATATATAAAAGTAATGCATTTGATGAATTGAATTTATCTTCGTGATATATAATATGTTGAATTATTTTTGTAGCATCAATTTGGTTATTTAAAGTAACAATTTTGATTTTCGCTCTATTTCTAAATCTTTGGTCATACATATATGTGTAGAGGAGACAAAACTTATACTATTTATTACTTTCCAAAACATATATATCTTTATTATTACTTTTTCTTTGATTCAATAGCAAACTATTTAAATGTAATAAAACGTACAAAACTAAATCGTTACACAGAGACAAATTAGTTGAATATATAATAAATTATTATTATTTTACGTTAAAACTTTCGAGCACGACTGTATTCAATTGAAGCGAGCGATGGTTGGGTGCATCGTATGAAAGAGTATGTAGACATTTTGATATGTTTTATGAAACCCGTCTAGATATAGAGAGGAATTTATGTAGATTTAAAACTAAAATAAATAAAAATTATACATAGTAATACATATTAAATCATTCCTTATATATTATATTCATACAAATTTAGTATATCAAGTTTTTTTTGACGAATTTCAGCCAGTTAATTATCTTAACTTTTAATCGGCTTAAGTTAATAGGCTTACGTAAAACTTGAAAGTTGAAACCTGACAATGTTGAATACTTCCACTACATACTTCTGATGTAATATCTTTAATTGGATATGTATTTATTAATTTATATTTTATATGAGATTATTATTGGTATTGTAATTGAATAATGAGACGAGATTTTATACGAATGATTGAGTATTTTCGTGATTAAATAACAAAAATATATTAATTTTTCCAAGTATAATATTAGTTGACCAACTATGGATCGTTAAGCCGTAGTGGCCTAGAGGTTTAAAGGTCCCGCCTCTCGTACATTTTAACACGGGTTCGAAACCTGGCAAGTACCAATGTGATTTTTCCGAGTCATATGTACTTTATAAGAGTATTTAGACACCACTTACAGACGATGAAGGAATACATCGTGAGGAAACATGGACTTGTAATTTCCAATTATAAATTTGATATCACCAACCCGTCTTACAAGCGTGGTGATTAATGCTCAAACCTTCTACATGTGAGAAGAGGCTCAGCAGTGGGCTCTGATAGGCTGATGATGAACTATGAGTCTGTAGAAAATATATTATGATTTCTTTATAATTATCATTACATAATTGAAATTAATACCTTTATGTCAGATAGTGTATAAGATATAGAATAAAATAAATTGTAATATATTAATTAGATAATTCTCTTGAATATATACTAAATATCTAATTAATTGTAATAATTATATATAATAGAATAGAAAAGAAAGTGTATATGATTTCGACACTTGTCAATAAAAATTATTTGTAGATATTAATGAAGCGGATAAGACTGAGTTTATTGCCAGGTGATATTGAGTTACTGATATAAAAAAAATATATTATAATAATAATAAATATCAACTAAATACCTCTCTCTGGAATTATCAAATATGAGAAAAAAGAAATATATAAGAAGAATGTAGGTATGACAAGAGATATCATACCTATTTTTTAGATTTATACATTTGGTCTTACTATTAATTCTTCTTCTTCTGCCTGGCAATTTCCCAGCTTTAGCCAGGGTTTACCTTACATGTAGTAAATAGTTTTGGCTAATTGTTTTTACGACCGCTTGCCTGCCTTACATCAACCCTCTTTGAGAATGCATTAATCACCACGCTTGCTCAAGACGGGTTGGTGATTTCAAATTTATAATTGTGAAATTTTAAGTCCAGGTTTCTTCGCAATGTTTTTCGTCACCGTCTGTCAGTGGTATCTAAATATTCTCAGAAAGTACAGTTACATATATTCTTATAAAAAAGGGGAGAGAAAAATTACTCATATTTTTATTAAATTTAATTAATTTTCATTATTAATATTAGGTATCGTCAATGATTTTGAACACGCGAAATATTTATGTAAATTATTAATTTTAGTCATGCTATTGTTATTTAATTAATTAAGAAGTTTTTAATTGAGAGATGAAAGTGTTGATAGTAAATATTACACGGTAATAATAAAAATGTTTTTGTGTTGTGGTTAAATTTAAATTGAGAAATTTTTACGACTGTTTTATATACAAACGAGTTTAAGTTATATTAATATAAAAATATATGTTTTTTTTAAATGGACTCGTTCAAAAAAAATACAATTTGTTTCTTAGGTATAATATTATTATGTTTCATTATTCCTAACAGATTTGAATTTTCACTGAATGAAAGAAAAAATCTGATCCGTGGTACATAACTTCTATTTCATTTTAATAAGTATTAGCATTAGACCCATAAAATCGAAAGTACCTAGAAACATCCTTTTAATTGTTTTTTCGGAATATATTTATTCCTATTATCTGAATGTCACGTATGTATATACAAAACATAAACAGGGTAAATAAATAAATTAAGCTAAATTAAGATATGTATAAAAACTTCTGTATACTTTAAATCAAGTTAAAATATATTACGCGGCTTCAATCTATATAAAAAATACATTACGTCAACTAAGAAGCCTTAGCAGTGGTCTGAAAATTCCAACGTCAAGTCTAACATACCACACATGATAAGACGTTAAGAAGATTATAGAATGACGTACAAAAATACTAGAAAAATACTGAGAAGTTCATCTTGTTTTATATAACAAGTTTATATACCTATATAATTCCATATATATTTACTGGGCAAGAGTCATTATTATCGAACTAGGGTCAATTTAAATTGGTCACCAAATATTATTATATACTAGAAGACCCGGCGAACTTCGTATCGCCCTATAATAAAGAAATATCTGTTACGTTTTTTATTTATATTTTTGGAATTTACCTATTAAAGCCATACATCTCCGTGTTTTGAAGTGCGACAGAATGATTGACATATTAGTTAGTTGTCAAATCTAATGTCAAATACAAACGTTTGTATCAACTTATAATAAATTAAAAATTAATTAAAAAAAATTATCCAGCCGACAAAATTGTGAATCTAAACCATTCCCAGATCCCCTTGGAGACACACAAAAAATTTCATCAAAATTGGTCCACTCGTTTGAGAGAAGTTCAGTGACATACACACTCACAGAAGAATTATATATATAAAGATATATATTTTTTGTATATTAGTTACGCACCACCAGCTATGACAGTAACTGTATCTCCGGAGCGTCGTGAGGGTTCAACCCAAAGATGGGGGGCGCCAAGAAGAGTGACCCTCAAAAGAAGACCTGGTGCCCCATTGGGAGTAAGCATTGTAGGTGGAAAGGTGAGCTCTACTTAGACTGGTTCCATAATTGTTGTAAAAAGTCCTATATATATAAAAAATACTATATATATTTTTGTTCCCATTAGGTGGATATAATTTCGAAGCAAAACGGCGAAAGCGGTGGTGAAGAGAAGGCGATCTTCGGTATTTTTATTAAAAATGTAGTGCCTAATAGTCCGGCAGCTCTATGCGGGGAACTACAAGTAAGGATATTATTATAATATACTTGAAAATCAAAATATCTAACTGGTTCTTAGGAAAAATAAGTTATACATCACTTGCAGGTGAATCACGCAAAATATTACAAGAAATATAATAACCAAAGTGTTTGAATTTTAAGATTAAGAGAGCTAAGATACAAGCAAAGCAAATAGTTGATTCGAAGCCAATGGAAAACAATTTGTAATTAAATTACACACTTTATTAAAAACTATATTTCATACACTCGATTATTCCTCATATTTCCGACTTTTTAGAGACAATTGATAATACTTCTTGCCTTAAAACGTCTATCCACATTATCATTTAAAATTATCGTATGATTTGTTAAAATTTTAAATATAAAAGACGGATTCATTGAGACGAATCAGGGCGCGTAGCTTTTAGGATTGGAATGGCTTGATGGGAATTTATAAAAAAATCGTTTGAGGATTTCAATTCGGATATGAGAAGAAAATTAAAACCTTGTCAGATGTAACCGATAAGAGAATTATTATGGTAATAAAATGAAACTAATATTATTTGGATTTACTACGGATGCTTTATTTTTGTAAAAAAAACTACATACTCCCGAGGTTGTGATTACTTTTCAGTAACCGTGATCACGATTTGGTAATATTGTTGTAATTTTTTGTAGATTTGGTAATATTGTTGTAATTTTTTGTAGATTTGGTAATATTGTGGTAATTTTTTGTAGATTTGGTAATATTGTGGTAATTTTCTGTAGACAGGAGATAGGATTTTGGAGGTAGATGGTGTCTGTGTTCGCACAGCTCAGCACGAACGAGCTGTGGAACTGATTAAGGCTGCTAGGGACGTCGTTGTCCTGACTGTACAAAGCCTTCTTACTTGGGTAAGGAAATTGAAGCTTTTGATCATATTAAGTATATATCTAATTGGTATTCAAAATGTCAAGCAAAATTGGCTTCAAAATCTGGTTTTAGGAAGTTTTTTTTGGGACCATTTTAGAAAATGATAAAAAATGAAATATGTCTCTTTTAATTGACTTATGTAGATACTTTTTGAGATAAAATATATTACATCTTTTCACAATAAAATCTTCATATTACGAGTATGTTTTTAAATCGCCAGCAATCTCATACATATTTATTTTTTATGAATTCGATAAATGGATGTAAAAATGGCGTTATTATAATAGTGCATTTATTAATATAGAATACAGACTCGTCTGATGTAGAGGCTTCCCCTGCCACGTCTCCACCGAAGCCCGTCAAGAAAGCACCAGCTCCTAAACCACCTCAACATGAAATAAAGGTTTTAACCTCTGTCTTATATTAATCTGTACACCTTAGTAAAAATATACAAAACATACTTTGGTATGAAACAACATATAATTTTGAAATATGTACGTAGGTGTAAGATTAATACCTAAATATTTTTATCCGATAGATAACGGTAACCGAACCAGATATGGAAAGAAAACAATCAAAAGAAGAAAATAAAGAAGAAAAGGGGAAAGAAAATGAGAAGGAAAATGAAAAACAAACAGAGAAAGTGAACGGAGAAGTTCAACAGAAGAAAGTTTATTCAGATTCGGAAAGTAGCGACGAAGAAGATGAGAGAGAATTACAAGGAAGAACTTATTCAGATAAGGGAGTTGAGGTAAGAAGAATTATTTATTTATTTATTTATTTATTTATTTATTTATTTATTCATTTATACATTTGTAAAAACTTTACAATAAAAAATTATGAAAAGAGATACTTTATCTTCTTAATGATTTAGTGTTATTGTATATTTAATAAAAAAACATATATAGATTACGTAAAAGATTATTATGTATAAATACGATCTTAATTTTTTTTTATTGTTTTTCGAAGCTAGAACATAAAATTGAGATATATTTAAATTTTATGGAAATATAAAATGCGGAGAAGCAGTCGTTTTATATCAAATAATTCGATGATGGTTTCAAGAAGTTTGAAAACTCCAGAAATTTTGTATAACTTTTAAAAATGTTAGCTAACTTGTGAGTTATATTTTGGATGGTTATTCGAAATATCGGTTAGGTGATGACTTAAAAATTTTCACGTTTTTTCCAAATACATTTTTCTTATATAATATTATTTTAACTCTTTCATATTGTATAGTAAAATCTATTCTAATATATCATTATAACATTCTATGTGTGTGTATGTCTGTGTCCAATTTATATATATACCGCGTCTAAAACATCCGTTTGTTTGTTTTCTACAAATCGAAGGTCGGAATAACGTAAACACAACGCGATTGTGCTCGCGCGTTATTCGTTGAAGGGTCTTTTGATTTATTCAAACTATTGAAGATATTTTGTTATAAAGAACTAACGGTGCTTTTAAAGTAAACTATTCTATAGATACTTAGCATTTAATTCAAAATTTCTATTCCACTTTTGATCAACTAATATTGTAGAATGTTTTTGATCAAATAATAATTTAGAATGTTTTTGGTCAAACAATAATTTTCAATCGACTTTTTACTTTCAAACATATTTTTTTCTCAAGCCTTATAACAAGACAGATACGATTTAATTAGCTTATATATTCTTCTTATAATTCTTCTTATCTCATAGATTGATCGTGCATCAGCCGGTGCTATTAAACGAAGCAGAGAAGAGAAGGAGGCAGACCCAGAAGAAGAAGATGACTTCGGTTACACAACAAGTAAGTGGAAAGATACATTATTCACGTTATTTAACTTCACGTTTTATTTCCTCCACGTATATTTCTACGCGTGCATCGTAGAACATAGTCGATAGATAATCTTCTAGAAATTGAAACAAAATTTTTTTTTTAATGTTTTATCCTTATATAAAAAGATATATAATTATTGTTTATTAATGCGAAAAATAAATTTTTATTATAAAATGTTATGTATTTCATATTAATTAAACATATAATCTTATGGCTATGTTTTAATGTGTCTCAAGATCCGGCTAAAGATATTAATAGCAATATAATCTTTATAATATTTATTGAATAGTCATTTTATATGTTTACAATCATATATAAGAAAACATTGTTATTTTTATATTACAAGTAAGACTTTGTATAATGTTCAATTAGTAGTAATATGTTATTCTACATATTAATTATTATTTATATGCCAGGAGACGATTTTAATACTAAAAAGATATAGTTTCTTTGTAAGAAGTACGTATATATTGCTTCAAAGTCATATAAATAGGACGCACTCGTAACAAAATTACAAGCTTAAGGTGATTTTGTCTCTTACATTAAAATATGGTTTTCTTATAGTGTTTATTGAAAAAATAAATGAATTATTCTTAAAACTGTCAATTCCGAATAAATTGTACAAAGTAAATAAATTGTACAAAGATACTATCTGGATTTGAGGTATGACTTATAATATTTTTAATATATACATATTTAATTAATTATTATTTGATTTTGATCGTGCTACTATCCTTTGTGATAATTCATTATAGAAATTACTTTTAAGATACATTATATATTACTTTCTAAACATTAAATTTCCTTAATTTTGAACATTAATCAAGAATTCATATAATATTATAGTAATTTAACAAATATGGATTAAACTTATCAAATGTAAGGCTTCCGTAAGATCGCCTTTATATAAACGACTGGCCCAGTTTCAAGTAGAAATTAGAGCGTTTAATTAATTCTAACTTTGTTTGACTTCGATTCATGATTTAATGTAATCTATTAATTTAATATAAAAATTATTTTAACCGCTCGTTAAAGTACTAAATAAATTCCATATTTATTATGAATTTGTATCTAAATTCTGAATGTATAAAGTCTATTTTTACTTGTTGAAATTCTTTTTTAGAGTTCGAAAGAAAATTACTATATAGTGGTCGTATTTATAAGAAAGATTTTTAAAGAAATCTCAATAAATTTTCGTCATACATTTCTTCGTTACCAGATATTCAAATAAGTATATTGTGACTTTACAATGGTATATATTTCAACTGAGCCACGTTACTCCGATACATATTTCTTAAACCAAAAATAACTCACACCTGAATGCTTACGAAAATCTAAAGTTGGATTGAGGAGCGGTCGATTTGTTATTTAGAGCATATATTTCAGTCATACGACTCCTCTTGTTATTATTACGAATTATTCTTATATTTCAAATAAAAAAATCAACAAAAATCCATAGAAAATTAATTTATTAAAGATATATATGAGCTATCATTAAATAAGACACATTTTTTCTGTATAACTATGCAATATTATAATTTTAGTTTCAATTAAGTATCTACTGTTTATTTTAATTAAAAAATCGCACAATATTTTGAATGTTACAATATATTATTTTCAATATACACGGACGTCCGATTTTTTATATGTAAGAGTTATTTTAGAAGCATTGACCTACCTTCAATGCCAGTCTAAACGGGCTTAGAACAAACTGTAAATATAAAGTTGCATACACACTACGGAAAACCGATATTCAGTGATGCTACTACATATAATTATATTTTAATAAGGACAATTAAGTTATTAAAATTGGAGATATATCTAGAGAATATTTTAATAAGAATTTTGAGCTATTTATTCTAATTTAAAGAATAAAATTTTATGGACGCGATTAGGATTTGAACCTGTTATCTTTTGAAATAGCATTTCAGTTACTTGGCAGAAAGATCAAGAACACGTATTAATTCTTAAACTTGAGTTTAACTAAAAGTTATTACGATTTAACTGAAAAAATACAAAACAAATAGTATAAGAAATTGCATTTTTTATTTCAATGACGTCACTATACTATTTTTGATTTCAATGTTTAAATTTTATGAGGAATATTATAGTCATTCAGTGATATTTTTAAATACATTTTGTTGTTCTTGTTAGAATCTACACACACACACACACACACACACACACACAAACAAACACAAACAAACACACACACACACACACACATCGCGCTGTGGTAAGGCTTTTATAATAACAAGTTAACTTTCAGTATCACGTAAGTCAACATAACATAGTATGTTTGAAGAATAATTTATTATATAATATTTATATATCACAGTATATCTTAATGTAATATTAAGACTGTTAAATGTCTATTTAATATATAGAAAAAAGGATTTTTTTCTCATAAATCAAAGAACCGTATATAAACGCACATTTTACGTAAATTTTCATACATAATGTATCTTTTCACTTTATTATTATTATTATTATTATTATATTTTATTTATGAAATAAATGAATAATTTTTATTTCTATTTTTCTTTATTTTAAGAATAATAGTGACTGCACGGTAATTATAATGTTATATATCAAATTGAAATGTATAAGTATATGTTTTCATGATATCTTTATATATAAAAGAAAGTCGTGTTAGTTACACTATTTATAACTCAAGAACGACTGTACGGATATGATTGAAAATTGGTGGAGAGATAGATTAGAACAAGGGAAAATATATAGGATACTTTTCATGCGATTGATAAAGAAATAAGTTGATCAAATCCAAAATCTTCTTATCTACTGTCTTTAAGGAGGAATAGAGTTCGCCCGGTCAGCTATACATTTTTACTTCTGAAACTAACGCAGACGAAGTCGCGGGCAAAAACTAGTAAACTACAGATTTCGTTGTTGTTTTATATGATAAGTGAATATATTAAAATGATAGAAATAAATTTATTATTTTTCTTATTCCTCTTCTACCTGGCAATTTCCGAGCTTTAGCCAGGTTCTGCCTTTCATGTTGTGAATAGTTTTGGCTAATTGTTTTTACGACCGGCCGCCTGCCTGACATCAACCCTCTGTAGGAAAAATGTATTATTTTTCTTTTAATTAAATCAAACTAATTTTAGCCTACAGTTATTTTCCGTTTTTCCTGTTTTCCTACACGTATATTATTTTAGACATTTCTTTGTAAATCTTATTCCTAAATATAAGTGGACGAAGTCGTGATCAAAAACTAGTATTATGTTTTTCTCCCCAATTTCGTTGCCAGTTAACTATAAGTTCGATCAATTCAAAATCTATTTATACACGAAGGTCGGGCGTCTAACAGGTGTGAAATAAAATTACTATATAATAATAATAGTATGGTATTTTTATATTTTCAACCGACTGCTGAAAGAGGGTTATGTTTTGATCAAGTCTGGTATATATCTTGATTAGTTTTGGATCAATATTTTTATACTATGTTATAGTTAAAATAACTGATTATAAATGAATTTATATTTAATTTTACTATAAAATATATATTAAAAAGCATTTTAATGTTTTTAATTTTCATATTTTATATGTAAATTATATTATTAATTGCAATGTAATTAACATATTTGAATCGTAAATTATATATATATATATATATATATATATATATATATATATATAATTGTGGGCTGAATGAAAGAAACCTTGACGTTTTAATTAGTGAAGTAATGAGATAATTGTAAGTAATGTGTCAATCATTTTAAATGACTTTGACAGTAAAGTGTTAGACTAGTATTTCATACAAATTATTTGTATGTAAAATAGTATTATTACTAGTAAATAAATATATTACCAAGGAAAATAGTAGGAATTAGCACAAGCCATATAATCATGTCTAGTATCTGCTACCGGTAAAACATTTGTCGTGAGTGAATTTCGAACGTCATTACACAAATAAATTTGTCGTTTACAACATTACAAACTTATATTTGCGGTTGAGAAAATGAAAATAAAAAGTTGTTCTGAACCTGAATCTTATTACAATAGCATTAAGATTCGTTTTCCAATAACAAGTTTTGTTATAGATTGAGTATACGAATGATATGTTTGCATTCAAAAGCTCGGCTCGTAACGAGGGCGAAAACTACCGATTTCGTCCGAACTAGGTTTTCCATTGTTGGAAACGCTCGGCCTGAGCTATTTTAAATACACCTTAATCCATTGACTTACGGTCTAATATAGATCGTGATAATTCGGGAAAGTAAAATTTGTTGTTCTCCGAACCATTCATCCGTTATGCGATTTTATATCTTAATGGGTAGTAATAAAGTTTGTTTTTCTACTAACCTGACTCAGAATAAAGTCCGCGGATAGGATATTTTCTGCGGCACGTGTTTAGATTTTCAGTGTCGCGATAGATATAAACGTACGCGGACGCTGTGACGTTTCGCGCGCATTTTGAAATCCCGCGCTTGAAGTTCGGCGTTCGAAATTTGAATTTGAAATGTCGTCGTCTATATTGTGAATAATCGGCCAGTGTTTGAAATGTTAAGTGTTAGTGAGCGGATTTCGAAAGGAGTTTTTAAGGTTTTGTGACGTTCATATGAAAAAAAATGTGTAATATAGAAAATGAACGCTGTAAAAATCTTAGTGATAATAATGATATTTTTAGATATATTCCAGTGCGAACAAATGAAAATTTATAAATAAATATTATAGTATATTAAATATGAAGTAGGAATATTATTTATTATCTGGTTTTAATACTTGTTGAAACACGAATTCGTGATACCTAAGTACTAGAACGGGTACTTAAATTAAAAATTAATAGTATAGAATATATTATAATGTCATTGACCTTTGAATAAAAAGCTTTATTAATGTTAACTATAGAATAAAGACAAATCAACTCACGACTTGGAATTTTGACTCTACATAATGTGCAATTAAGATTTCAGATCAAAAAACATTACCGTTGCTGTCTCTTG